TCCGTGAAAAAGCGGGCGCAGCCCCCTCAGCTGGAAGACTTGGGTGCTAGCAATCAAGCCAGCTAGCGAATATCTTGTGGACGCATACGTGAAACAAATGAGCTAGCAGTATCTTGTGGAGGCATTGCCCGCTAGTTATTTTATAAATATTATAGCAAAATATTTAAAAAAGAAAATAATCTATAAAGTAAGTTATTATGTTATGCATTTTATATATTTTAAAAAATCATATTTCCGAAATCAATGCAAATCACATGTTAGGAATTATTTCACTACTGAAATATGACTTTATTTATTATTTTTGAAGTAAGGATGAATTTATTTGAATTACTATGCTGATATAATATGAAACATTTGACCGCATACAGTGCAAAAAGTTATGTTTTACTTTGTTAAATTTATCATTTGAAAAACAGAGTTCTTAATGTCAATTAATTCAACTAAATATTAAATAATTCAAATGTAACTTGCTGCACGGAAATTGTATTTACAATTATTGAAATCATTAAAAGTATAATCCAAAAGTTCATTAAATGTAGGTACTTACAACTCTACAACTATTTCATTGCGAAGTTCATTCCTGGGAATGAACTTAATACAATATTCTTTTTATTCCAAACTGAACTTTATTTCCTGCCATATTAGTGAGCATTTAGTATAAAATAGCAAATATCTCAGCTTATAATTATAAATAACACATCCTTCATATTCTTTTATCCAACTGAAGATACACTTGAATGCGTGAGAACATGTCCTTCGAAAAGGGAGAACTTGGCCCACGCGACTCGTACCTTGACGTCTTCTCGAGCTCTGGGTAGTGTTAATTTGACTGATCGCCATTACTGTATTTTTTTACTTCGTGTAAACGTTTTCCATTTCCTTGTGTTTTCCTTTTTTTGGTTAAACCACATATTTATATCATCATGCCTACTAGATGCATGTCAAGGAAATTATAAGTGACAACCGAAAGCGCCAGTTTTTCTTTTGTCGAAAGATCCAGTCTCCATAGAAAATAGATAAGGGCGATCCATCGAAAATTCCAGCCTACGAGAGCTTCAAAGGTAAGAAATATATATATATATTCTTGATTAGTATTTATCATATAAATATACTTTACTGTTCATTTTATACTTTAATGTGTATTATATTCCATGTTGTTCACTATATTTATGTAACTAAATTTTTCGTTCTAGGTAAGAAATACTTAAAAGGAATTAATTAAAAGGAAAAAAGCGATTTTAACTATATATTTTTACATGCAAAGTGTTAGATGATTTCAAAATTTCAAATTATTTCCTTTCAAAACTGAATAAAATATTTGTTGGTGAAACATCGTAATTAAGAGTAATATGTAAGATTAGCGAATTATTTCTGCTAAATTTCGTTTTATTTCAGTTTTCAAAATTCGGAAACCACCACAGACTGTCGTAGATTATATAAAATTCTCAAACTGTGTTGTTATCCCAAAAATTCCATTTAAGCATGTCTTCATGGTTTAAAATTTAACGTAGCTTCCCCAATCTATTAGTTATTAATATCCAATATTTGAATTATTAAAACTCAAGGAAAATGTGATTTTGTTAGTGATAAAGCTATCTGAAATTAACTAATTTTTATGAGACGGCAAGGACTTAACATAATAAATGTTAGTTGTAATATTTTAGGCATTATTTGTATTTACCACTGCATTTTTATGACGTTTTTAGGCTGTAGAGAAATATGATCTCATATAGCGATAGCAGGGCCCTCACCTGAAGTAGAAGTTAGATGTTAGATGCCAGACCGGAATGGCGCATTAAGCCATAACCTTTGATTTGTAGAATTTTCCGTATGTTGATTTATTAACTAATTAACTGTACATATTGTAAATAAATATTTAACTTAACCTTGTCGAATATAGATATAGATATGATGTTCTTCATATAGAAAGATTTTAGATACGGTAGAAGTTTCGACTTACAATTAAAACCTCCATCCCGACATAGTGCATCGGTGCCATGACCCATTGGCTAATTTAAGAATTAGTGTTTTTTAATTTTGGATTAGCGCTTTGTGCGAAGACAGCCAAGGTAAGCCTGTATTTTCTATTTTTGGTGTAATGGAAGATCTTATTGCTAAACTGAAATCCAAACGAAAGGTATTGAAGACCGCAGTGTCCAAGATATTAAAGAAAATCGAAACCGAACTGTGTAAAGATGATAGTAGTATAAATGTAAATAAATTAGAAGAAATTTTAGACCAATTAAACGAAAAATCCAAATTCTTGAATGATTTAGACTCCCAAATAGAACGAGAATTAAAAGTCGAAGCGGACGAATTTGAACTCGAAATCTCATCCGTTTTGGAATATGAAGAGAAAAGTGTGGCAGTTTAGAGGGAAGAAAAAGTTGAAGGAATTGAATAAGCTCGAAAATTCGGACAATGCAAATAGGGACATTTCTAATGAAACCATTACAGAATCCCAAAATGAAAATAACAAATTCACTCATCTTCCAAAATTAACCATCTCTAAATTTTATGGTGATCCTTCGAACTGGTTAGAATTTGTAGGTCAGTTCATGAATTTAGAATTTATAGGTCAGCTCAGCCGCCAGCCGCCAAAGCTGTTCCTGGTTTCGCTCTCGTCGAAAATAATTACGAAGCTGCTCTTGAACTGTTACGTTCCAGATTTGGGCAAACAAACAACTTAATTAATTCGCATTTAGGACAACTCTTAAGTATTTCACCTGTTAGAAATCCCAATGATGTGAAAGGATTAAGAAAACTTCTCGATCACACCGAAGTACAGATAAGAAATCTCGAAGCATTAAAAATAGACTCTGATTCCTACGGAAATCTTTTAGCGCCTTTAATTTTGAAAATACTTCCTAATGAATTCGTTCTTAATTATAGCCGAAAAATTAAAGACAAAAATTGAGATTTAAAAGTTCTGTTAACCTTTTTGAGGAACGAAGTATTCAGTAGAGAACGCGCGGCTTCTGTTAATTCTAACTCTAGAGAGAAATATTCGCGATTAGAAAAGCAACTGCTCTTCAAATCTGAACATTCTCGAGCCATACCAAGCAAGCCGTCTACAGTTGAGTTCTTAGCTGCGTCAGCCGAATCGCAGTGTCTCTTCTGCGGGAACGAAAGTCATAAGTGCACGGATTGCGAAATTTTAAGTGTGGAAAAGAAAAAAGGGTTAATCTTTGGATTATGGTAACTTGGCGATTTTTTGGCGACCAACCCTACTACAGCAACCTGCTAGTTTTTTTTTTACGCCATTTTGTTTTCACGAAGTAAAGGCGTGTTTTTTTTTTTTTTTTTTTTTTTTTTTTTTTTTTTTTTTTTTTTTTTTTTTTTGTTTTTTACTCAACATTTTTTTACAACAATCTGCTATCCGAATTACGCTTATGCTAAAACTTTTATGGAACAAAAGTGCTTAATCATGACGAAGATTAGATGCAAAATTGGGAGAAAGTGCACAATCGCCCACTGCTTGCCGCGTTTTTAAGAATTGCACATACACGGTATCATCCATGTACACATCGACCTATTTGCACTTAAAAAAACATCCCAGAATTTCACAAAAATGATTCCGATTGGTAGAAAAGAATCACTTTCTGTTCATTCATTTGGAGATAAAACTGCGTTAGAAAAACTTTTAACACTAGAACGGTGGGAAAATTTTACCTACTGGAACGGCGGTAAGGGGTCAATTTGACCCTTCGATGAAAGTACTGAAATAACAATGGTAAAGCAATTTTAAATGCCATACATTGGCACAACTATGTACTTTATATGTATTTCATAATTTATATTTAATATCACATGATAATTTATTGACTTTTTAAAATACTGTAAATGTATCGAGTACATGGCGATCAATCGGATCATACTACAATCACTCAAATAACTCATTAATTTGATATAAGAATTGATTTCAAATAAATGGTTTCACAAATTAAAACTCATGTTAACTAAAATAAAACACAGTTTATATAATAATATTTTTATGTGCTTACTCGGAGGATGATTCACTCTCTAAATCTAGAAATGAGAAATGTTCTCTGATGTTTCAGTTATATCATTATATGTGCAGCTGATTGGAATATGTAAAGCATTTCGTTTCAATTCTATTTAAGGTTTAAAATATTACAGATTACACATACGTATTAAGAATTAATGCAGTTGATACAAAAATAATTTCTTAATTTTAATTTCCAGCGCACATTTTCCACACACAGCTTTGGACAAGATGCAACAAGATGCACAATATTCTTGAGATTTTTTTCCATTGCATCTACTGAAACATCTACTGTCATTGTACTGACACTTTTTTGTCTTTATATCCATTTCCTTTTCATGTGTTTTTCTGAAGACTCGGGAAGGATCTTTGGGAGTTTTGAAGCCTCTTAACTCCTCTCCTAATTTCAGTAGAAAATCTCTCCTGTTAATGATGTTTCCTGTTACACTTTTATAAATTATCCAGGCGTTCAAAGCTGCGTGATCCAAAATATATATAAAACGATATGTACAGGCCATCGTCTAGAAGCCTATTTAACTGAATGTTTTCGGCACATCTAATAACGAATACCCATACCATACTTTGTTGCGTTGGAAAATGCTATTGAATCGGCCACCTTCTTGAGACTGTCTTCAGATTTTACAGTAGAATGTAATGAGCTCAGTAGAAAAACACTTTTGTTTCTTTTGCCTTGATAGATGGTAAGTGTGATATTGTCATGTTCCACTACTGTCGATGAATAAAGATTACTACGCATATTTTTCAAAGATATAGGAATTTCTCTTCTGTTCTTTTTCATTGTGCCGACCATAGTTGTATTTTTTTATTTTAGAATTTCTGATAATTTAATGCTAGTAAAATAGTTATCCTGGGAGATCAATGGTAATATTCCTCCCTTTGATTAGATGTAGATCCGTTAATTTTATGACAACATTTTCAGACAAACGTAATTGAGGATTTGCTGTTTCATCTTTTCCTAGATAAGGAAATCCATTCAAGAGGTATTTAGTATCAACTTCGACATATAACCAAATATTATTCCAAATTTTTCAGGTTTATTAGGCATATATCGTGTAAATCTACACCTAGCTTTAGATGGGAATAATTGTTCATCAACTGTAATATTTTGTCCTGGCCGGTAGCCCGTTTTACAGCTTTCAATAAATTTGTCCCACATGTCTGATGCAAGAGCAAATTTATCAGTCTGTAATCGAGTCGATCTTGTTGTCTTTTCATCGAACCTTAAAAATCGTTTTACTTTTTTGAATCCATCTCTTGATATAGTTTCTTTGCAAAATGGTATTCCCCACACTTCGGACCACAAGGGATATAAATCTAAGCCCTTTGATCCTATTACTCCTCGAACATACAGTATAGCGACTAAAGCATCTAAGTCAGCCAGAGATAACGTCCAGTCTTTATTTCCAAGTTGCCGATGAGCTTCGGATTCTGTACATTTCTTTATATGCAGCAAGATATCATCATGAATAAAAAGCTTGAAAGCACTAGACACTTTGTAGACCTCAAAAACACGACTCTTTGCAAAAGATGTTGGTTTCTTTTAGAACATTATAAGCAGGAACTCGGCTATAGACTGAATTTTTGGAATTTATTTCATTCCATATGGTGTTATCAGGAGCTGTAAAAACAGTTTTGCAAATACCCTGATCCGTTTTTGCCCATTTATTTTCTGCTGAGTTCTTCTTCGTTTACTTCGCTGTCCTCGGAATCACTAATAGTTTGTGTCTGGAATTCATCTTCAATTTCTACAGAAAAATTATCAATTTCACCTCCTTCAGACTCATTTTCAGATAGCTCCTGCAACAATTTTCTTTAATTTCTTCATCCGTAAGACCTCTTTTCCGCTTATTAGACATATTTTGTAAAAGTTGAAAAAAGTAGAAAAATATTAGACTATCAAAAAACGATAGGGAATATATTTTAGCATATGATTCTCACAGCGTAAAGGAAAGGTGATAATGAACTTGACGGCAGAATTCATATGTACTGAAATATTGATTTGAGATTACCAAGAAAACATCTATCCTAACTGTTATCACCTTCTGTAAGTAAGCTGAACTAACAAACGGGAAAATGCATCTGTAAAATAAACTATTTCTGAAAAGAAAAGTAACCTTGAAAAAAACCCTGTATCTACCTTCCTTGCAGTATTTTCTTCAGAGGGATAGATAATTGCAAACAAAGGAACAACTTATGTAGACATTACAAAGTAGTGAGACCACCCAGCTTTTCACCCCTCTGGGAGATAGTATGAATGCAATCGAAAAATTCTTATCAGTGAATGTGTTTCATGGGTTAATTGACAATGCCTCGAGCAGAAAGAGGGATAAAAGTCATGGAGGTAGCAAGTTAGATGGAGTGGCCCTAAACCAGTTTCCCCATACCCTGCTTTGAAGCACTGGCGATCCCTTCTTTGGTGACCAAAACATTGGGTAATTTACCATTGATATCAACGGGCTTTGACAAGATCGGATATAAATATTTTGTAATTCTTTTTCTACAATACTTCAGAGACCTAAGTATATGAAAAGAATACATTTTTAAACAACATTTCATTCTGAACGAAATTAAATGCTATACTTCTCACCGAAAAGTTTGCTCAGAATGGTTTAATTTGAAATATTTTTACAAGTTTTCGTTAATTACATTAGAAAAAAAATTTAAGGTAATTCGATTTTATTCGGTTAACCGATTTTATTCGGTTAATTATTTTACAAAAATTAAGATCAAAGTTTATTGTATTATTAAAATTATGCATTATTTCTTTTCTTCTTATAGAGCTTCTTCCTAAAATACTTTCTCAAATATGACATGATTTTTTAGCTTCTAAGGCATCGTTTAAATCAAAAACTATAAATCAATTTATAATTAATGCTCTATTCGGTCCATTTCAAATTAGAGCCCCTTTTAATTTAATAGCGAAATACTTTAAATAGTACTTATCTTTCTCTGAATATTTCTGAAAGGGAATAGAATAAGGATTATTTTTTAAATATTATTTAAAACTTGTAACTGGATATCAAATGTAAGGGGAATAATTCTTACCCTTAATTTCAACAATACATATTCCAAAACTCTTCTTTATTACTTTCTTAAGTACGCATCTCATAGAAATTGCTTTACAATACCTTTTAACATATTGCTTTCCAGTACGAACAATTCTTGCATAAATAGTTTTATAACGTATTTGTCAACAGGATGTCAATTTATGTTTACAATTCAATGTTAAGGTTATTATATATTTAGGTAATATTTATAATCGTTATAAATTTACATATATTTAATAAGTAGATTTCTTCACAGTAACTTTCACAGTTATTTATGAAAGAATAAATCCTTCATTTCAAATACAGTTATAAATAGTTTAATAAATATTTACGTATTTTGTTAAAGGCAGATACATGCTTTTTGGAAGCACATGCATAAATACCCATACGTATTTCATATTTTTCATTTCCGGCATGTGGAAATCTTTAATTTCTGTACATCTACTATATTTTTTCGAGTAAAGTAATTTACACTAATTTTAAAAAGTACATGTTACAATAATATGTGGATGTGAAAAAAATTTATTTCATTTAAAACATTTTGGCGTTTGGAACATAAAATAAAAGTAGCGAATACTGTATTAAGGGTATCGAAAAATGTATAAAATTTTAAAAGTACGGTGAGGTATTTTTAATTTTTTAAGCATAACTTTTTTGCTAAAATCTATATTTTTGTAGTTCAACAGCTTAGAATTTTATAAAACAAATTCATAATCAAAATCGCTGTTGTTAGCTATCGAAAAATAACCAAGATCTGATTTTTGCGTAAATGTCGCTAAACTCTACAACTTGCTATTATCCATCATACTAGGAATGTTTCTTTTATGCGGAAGTGTCCCGTTTTTCGATTTGTATTTGTCGTGTGTCGAAATACTATCAGAGCGCTGTCAAACGAGCTTCTGAATGTAAACAAAAAACACCCCATCTGGTGACCGAAGCTTCAGAGCAGTGCTTCACTTCTAATGCCGGTTTTAACCACGCCTTCCTTTCTTACCATGGAGGTAGGAAGACTTAGGTAGTTTCTTACCATGGAGGAAGTAAGATGGAGTAGCCCTAAACAGGTTTCTCCCGTACCGTGCTCTGAAGCACCGGCGATCCCTACGTGGTGACCAAAACATTGAGTCATTTACCATTAAGTTCAATGGGTTTTGACGCAATCGGATGTAAATATTTTGTAATTACGTCGTAAATATACATATCAATGTATATATTTTCTTTTTCTACAACACTTCAGAGTCCTAAGTATATGAAAACAACATATTTTTAAACAACATTTCATTCTGAATGGAATTAAATGCTATACTTTTCGCAGAACAGTTTTCTCAGAATGGTTTAATTTGAATGAAATATTTTCAAAAGATTTCGTTAATTACATTAGAAAAAAAAAATTTAAGGTAATTCGATTTTATTCGATTAAGGTACAAAAATTAAGATTAAAGTTTATTGTATTATTAATATTAAAATTATGCATTATTTCTTTTCTATTTATAGAGCTTCTTCCTAAAATAATTTCTTAACTACGACATGATTTTTTTGGCTTCTGAGGCATCTTTTAAATCGAAAAATATAAGTCAATTTATAAGTAATGCTCTATTCGGTTCATTTTAAATTAGAGAATTATTATAAACTATCAAAATACTTTAAATAGTACTTAACTTTCTTTGAACATTTCTGAAAGGAAATAAAATAAGGATTTTTTTAAAGTATTATTTAAAACTTGTAACTGAGTTGTTTTAAAATGTAAGGGAATAATTCTTTTAATTATACCTATCAGATTTTTTTTACCTTTAATTTCCACAATACATATTCCAAAACTCTTTATTATTTTCTTAAGTGCGCATCTCATAGCATTTGCTTTACAATGCCTTTTAACAGATTGCTTTCCAGTACGAATAATTCTTGCTTAAATAGTTTTATAACGTATTTGTCAACAGGATTTCAATTTATGTTTGCAACTCAATATTAAGGTTATTATATATTTTAGATAACATTTATAATAATTATAAATTAGATACATTTAATAATTAGATTTCTTCACAGTTGTTTATAAATGAATAAATTCTTCATTTCAAATACATTTATAAATAATTTAATGAATATTTATGTATTTTGTTAAAGGCAGATACATGCTTTTTGCAAGCACATGCATAAATACCCATACATATTTCATATTTTTCATTTCCGGCATGTGCAAATCTTTAATTTCTGTGCATTCACTATATTTTATTTTTAATTAACCCAACTAAGTAAAGCGTGTAAGCCCAAAGGAATTATTTTCCAGATATATAAAATTAAAATGATGAGTTTAAAATAAGCAACAGTGATGCCTCTCCTCTAAAAAATTTTAAAAGGTGCATGTTACAATAATATATGGATGTGAAAAAAATTTATTTTATTTAAAACATTTTGGCGTTTGGAACATAAAACAAAAGTAGCGAATACTCTATCAAGGGTCTCGAAAGACGTATACAATTTTAAAGGTACCGCAAGGTATTTTTCATTCTTTAAGCATAACATTTTTGTTAAAATTTATATTTTTGTAGTTCAACAGCTTAGAATTTTATAAAACAAATTCATATTCAAAATCGCTGTTGTTAGTTATCGAAAAATAACCAAGATGTTATTTTTGCGTAAATGTCACTAAACTATACAAATTGCTATTATCTAATCACACTATGAATGTTTCTTTCATGTGAAAGTGTCCCTTTTTCGATTTGTATGGAACTGTGGTGTGTCGAAATACTATCAGAACACTGTCAAGCGAGCTTCTGAATGTAAACAAAGAACACCCCATCTGGTGACCGAAGCTTCAAAGCAGTGCTTCACTTCTAGTGCCGGTTGGCGACTCTTTCCTTTCTTACCTCCATGACAAAATTAAAGGGGTCAAAATGATCCCCGTCCGCCGTTCTAGAAATACATGCCAATATTTCAAAAACTAACAAACCTAGAATGGTGAATTTTTTTTTTTACAAATATTTGTTATCTATTTAAGAAAAGTTAAAAAATTCCAAAAGATTTCTTCCAATAAAACAAAAGTAATCAACGGTCAAAATGACCCCTACCACCTACTAAAGATGTATCTAGTAAAATGGAGCTTCCGATTGTTAGAAACGAATCACTTTCTGTTTATTCATTTGGAGATAAAACTGCGTTAGAAAAATCTTTAATGTTGTTAAAGCAAAACTAGAAAATGTTGCCGATCCCAATCTTAATATATATGTTGAGCTTCTTGAAACCGAAAATATTTCTAATACTGTTATCTCCCCTCCAGATTTGAACTTTGCTTAGGAAAAATAAAGTTTTACAAAACTTACAATTAGCAGACTGTTGTAGACAAAGTGACAAAATTGATATTCTCATAGGGGTAGATTTCTACTTCTATAATTACTGGTAAAATTAAAAGAATTTCAAGAAATGTAGTAGCCACAGAATCTTTATTTGCGTGGTGTTTGCAGGGTAAAGTAAATTATGATAATAGCGAATTATTAACTGTGAAAGCAGTAGTAAATGAAAACTTTATATCAGATCAATTACAACAGTTTTGGAAGCTAGAAAATTTAGGTTTAGAAAGTGAACTCAAAATGACAAAACTGTTGATTTAGAAATTATGAAATTTTGCGAATCTGATATCAAGTATAAGAACGGCAGATACCAAGTAAAATTACCTTGGAAATCAAATTCAAAACATTTAATGGAAGATAATGGGGATATAGCCCTTGAAAGATTTAAGAATTAAGTAACAAATTTAAAATTGATAACCTTTTGTTTGTTCAATACACAGAGGTTTTAAAGGATTACGAGTTAAACATATTATTGAACCAGTTCAGGAAGACAATCAAAATCATAAAACCCCTATTTTATTTACCTCATAGAGCAGTCATCAAAAATGATAGAGCAACAAGCAGACTAAGAATAGGTTATGATTCTTCAGACCATAAACCAAAGACACTTTCTCTAAACGACTGTTTATATACTGGTCCGAACCCATGTCCTGATATTTTTTATTTATTCATAAAATTTAGACAAAATTCGATACCTTTACAGAGGACATTAGACAAGAATTTTTACAGATAGAGTTAAATGAAGAAGACAGGGACGTTACACGATTCTTTTGGAAAGATGAACCTGATGATAGCAATGAAAATTTGAAAACCTTTATATTTACAAGAGTTTTGTTTGGAGTAAAATCTAGTCCCTTTCTCCTAGTTGCTACTATTAAGCATCACCTCCCCAAGGCTCAATATCTGGTTCACTTTTGTGGAATATTATTGCTAATATAGCTTTAAACATATACAAGCTTATGCTGACGATTTTGTTTTATTGGCCACGGGAAGTGGTCGCCATACTATTGATAAAGCTTTAAGTTTCGCCACTCAAGAATTGGAGAAGTGGTCTTTCCATGTTAAACTCAAATTTGATCCAAAGAAGAGCTTTCTTTTGAGTATTGCCAAAACTAATACTAGATCAATGCATCCTAAGTGCAAACTGTATGGACAACCAAATAGAGTTTCTAAGAATATCAAATATTTGGGCATTACGATCGATGAAAAGCTCACTTTTATACCTCACCTAGATCAAATAAAGATCGAATGCACACATATTCTTAATAGACTTAGTAAAATGAATCTCCAAGGTAAAGTTCTTAATAATTTATATAAAAGAGCTATTGAGAGAAAGATCTTGTATGCACGTGGCGCATGGTGGACTGGAACGGTCCGAATGCGTAGAATCGCTTTATTGAGATTACTAAGTGCTTTACAACTGTTTCCAAGAGCTCATCAGATTTGGTTTTGTCCTCAACAAAGAATTTTAGAAAGGATAAAAAAGATCCTATGCTATCTTTAAATTAAAAGCTGCTAATAAAACTGTCGATTGTTTGAGATCTTCTCAGCTAAAGAGTTTGACTTTGAAAAAAGGTTTAGACATTGGATCCAGCTTCATTAGTTGGATTGGCATAAACGGTTGAATTGGCATAAAGGCCTTCCCAATATGAAAGGCTACACGATTTTTAGAGATGTATCTAAATTAAATGGTCATGTGGGGCAGCCTTTTGTGTGTTTTCAGATGAGAAACTAAGCTTACAAAGGAAACATAGACTTTATGACAATACCTCTGTCTATCAGGCAGGGTTAGGGGCCCTGCAAGAGGCCTTGTATTGGCTTATTTCTAATTCTGCAATAGATCCTGTAGAATCTATAGTGACTGCGAAAGTGCAATTGTTTCAATTACGGGGTTTGTCCTGTAGATCTAATTAAACAGATAAATGACATGCTCATTTCTTAGCGCTTTCAGAGATATTAAATTCTTATGACGAAGAGTCATATTGGTACCATTGGAAACGAGTTAGCAGATAAATTGGCAAAGGCTGCCACTGAAAATCAAATTATGATTTTGAGTATAGACTCCTTTGACATTTGAAATCCTTGGAAAAAGGAAAAGTTGACTCTATGGCAAGCAAAGTGGAACGACCCAATTCTAAAGGCAGATTCACTTATAATTTAATTTCATTGTAAGTGAGAAAAGATGCCTAAGTGACAAGTATCTAAACCAAGCTTTAACTAATCATGGACACTTTCCCTTTTATTATAATAGGTTTTCGATTTAAAATTGTGCCTGTCCATGTGGCATGAGTAATGTCGATATTGAGTACTTGTTGTTTAGATGCTCTTCTATGAAAAATATTGTTCCAAGATTTATTCCAGATAGTGTTAAATTTAATACTCTAAAAGATCTAAGTAAAAATACAGTGACTAAATTGAAATTGTCAAATTTCATAAAATATGTATCTGTAAATGAAATGAATTTATAAATTGATTGTGTTTAAAATTTCCCTGTCTATTTAAAGGAAAACTAAAATGTTTATGATATTCTGTTATTTTATTTCTTTGCATATGTAAGTAACATATTTTTATGCATGCAAGTAACATGTGTTATATTTTACAAAGTATGTAATAATGTGCTTTTGTTGGTGCAGCTGGTAAATCTCACCAGCTCCTAGACTTGTTCATATTTTAGTTGTTTATTCTATTTCAGGTAGTTGTTTATTCTATTTCAGGTTATTTCAGGTAGTAAGGTGGTAGTTCTACTGCTTAATGGGCTTGATTAGGCCTTGTTTTAGATCTCAATGTTTCTTAAATTAACTAGCTCCACTAAGACCTATTAAGCCACTAATGGAGGTACAGGAAGTTCAACCACTCAAGTATCACCTTAAAAATATTCAGAAATATATCCTGAAACAGTAGAACTCTTAAACTATATGTTGATGACATTATTGGTGATCAAAAAAATTTAGAACAAGCCCTGAAAATAAGTTTAGAAATTGGTGAACATTTTTAATGAAGCTAGCATGTCACTGCATAAATGGCATACTAATTCCAAAGAACTCAAAGACATTTGGCATCACAAAGAATTTTTGATACAAGAATCTCCTGAAGTTGTTAACCGATCAAAGTTGTTAGGAATTAACTGGGATACGGATAATGATAATTTTTATTTTGACACTCAGCACTTGAACAAATTTCATTTTCCTCATCAATTAACTCAAAACAAAACGTTTTCTATTACAAACCACAAGCCATACTTTTGATCCTGTTGGATTTTAAATGGCTCCTTTCACTATAAGAATAAAGTATCTGATTCAGGAAATGTGGTCTGGCCAAAATTGATTTGGGACGATGAACTGCTGCCAGATCTTATTTGTATAATGGAAAGCCTGGTATGAAGAAATTCAAGAAATGAACCACCTCAGGATTTCCCCGCTACTATTTAGAGAAAATATTAGATGTAAATGAGAAATAAATAAAACTCTATAGCTTTTCTGGTGCTAGTTTGAAAGCTTATGGATGCATTTGGTATATCTAAGAGAATAGGTCTGAACAATGGAACTTTTCAAATAGTTTTTGTTGCTTCCAAGAGTAGAGTTGCACCTCTGAAATCTCTTACACTTCCTAGATTGGAGCTCTTGGGCGCGCTTTAATCAGGTTTTTTGATCCTGTCGGATTTTATGGCCCTTTCACTATAAGAATAAAGTATCTGATTCAGGAAATCTGGTCTGCCAAAATTGATTGGGACGATGATCCCAATCTGATCTTAGTTATAAATGGAAAGCCTGGTACGAAGAAATTGAAGAACTGAACCACCTCAGGATTCTCCGCTACTATTTAGAGGAAATATTAGATGTAGATGTGAAACAAATAGAACTCCCTAGCTTTTCTGAGGCTAGCTTGAAAGCTTATGGATGCGTTGTGTATCTAAGAATAAATCTGAACAATGGAACTTTTCAAATAGTTTTTGTTGCTTCGAAGAGTAGAGTTGCACCTCTGACATCACTTACACTTCCTAGATTGGAGCTCTTGGGCGCGCTTTAATCAGCTAGATTGAATGATAAAATCGCAAAATGTTTAAAATATGAAGTAATAATCTTCCATTGGACTGATTCTCAAATAACTTATTTTTAGATTCATGGATCTCTCGAAAGATTTAAACCTTTCGTCAAAAACAGAATTTATGAAACCAAAAACTAACTGAAAGCAATAATTGGCATTATTGCCAAGGGAAAGACTACCTCTCCGACCTCGTATCACGAGGAACTACTGTTGCTAATTTAAGAAATTGCCAACTTTGGTGGCATGGACCACCCTGGCTTCAACAGTCTTCAGAATTTTGGCCCTCTGGTAATGTAGACGTTGTTGAAGAAGAAAATTTAGAGTATAGAAAGAAGTTTGCTTGTGCCCAACAATATAAATGTATCGTGCAAGAGAAGAATGAATTATTTGATATTTCCAAGTATAGTAATCTTATGAAAATATTAAGAATAATAGCTTGGATTAAGCGCTTCGCTTTGAAAACTAGGAAGCTCTCAAACTTGACAGATGTTCCTATAGCTGAAGAGCTTAAAGACGCAGAAGAATTCTGGATCCGTAGAATTCAAAGAGTAGCATATAATTCGGAAATTTCGGCATTAGAAACTGATAAAAGCATATCTAAGAAAGTCATCCGTATATTCCTTTTCCCCGCTTTTAGACGATAAAAGAATCTTACGGCTTGGAGAAAGATTACAATTCTCCGACAGCACCAAGAGAAAAACAGCCTATCCTCTTGCCTCGAAATTCAAAATTTACGGAACTGATTATTGAAAGAGAGCATAACAAGTTAATGCATAGTGGAGTAACAGCCACTTTCACCAGCCTTCGAAAAGAATACTGGATACCGAAAGGCCGACAGCTTGTGAAGACGATACTTAGAAACTGTCTTATTTGTAGAAAGTATACAGCGAAACCTGCTCAACAGATGACCGCACAGCTGCCAAAAGACAGACGGACTATACCCGATTAGTCTTTGAAAGCCGTCCGGCCCTGCTGTCACCTTTATAAAAACCTTGACGAAAACGCAACGTAATTATACTACAACGGAAAGAGAAACTTTGAACCACTTTTAACGGTGCACAAGTTTAGAGTTTATTTCGGGAAGGCACCGATAGTCGTGTATTCAGATAACGCCGCCGTGGGATCGCTATACTCCGGCAAAAATTTAAGTCCGCGACTTATAAGATGAGCATTAAAACTACAAGAATTTAGCTTAGTAATTTAATACAAACTGGGGAAGGAGAATATCGTGGCAGACGGTTTATCTCGAATAAAATTGGATGAAGAAGGAAAACAAATAAGATGCGCCACATTAACATCAAAAGTATTAGATTCCAGGGAAACAATTATTACCGAGTTAAAATCTGATCCAGAGTATAGACATATTTATGCACACTTTCAAAACCCGGATAATTTTGAACATCCGGATATAATGGCCATAAGGAATAGAGCAGTAAACTAGGAAATAGACGATAAACTATTATTTTATATTAAAACAAGAGATGACAATGGTAAGATATGGCCAGTCATTCCAACCGGGTCAGTATTTACAGGAATTACATGATACATCATCTACTGGTGGTCACCAAGGAATTCGGAAAACAGTGCAAAGAGTGCGCGATGCGGTTTTTTCCCCCGCAACTTCAAAGAGTGGTAACGAATTATGTCAGGTCCTCACATACATACCAGTTAGTTAACGATGTAAATTATAGCCCGACTTGGTATCTAAATAGTATAAGAGCTACTCTACAAAATGCGTTAATTGGAATATATTTATTGGGCCCATTTCCAAAAAGTTAAAGTAATATAAATAGATATTTATTAGTTATAATCGATCATTTCTCAAAATGGTTAGAAATAGTCCCCCTTAAAACAGCCTCAGCGAAACTTGTAGCCGATTCTTTTCTAAATAAATACAGTTTAAAATATGTGGCACCACTTAGGGTAATATCAGATAACGGCCCCCAATTCGTTAGTCCAATTTTCGACAGTTGCTTAACATTCAACAAGATGCAGGAAAAGACAGTGCTTGCGCAAGAAAAATTGCAGGCGATTGTGCATGATGATTTGCAGATGGCAATGGTGTGTGCAAAGTGGCTACCACCAATGCACTCACACCACAACGAAAGGCGAAGCGCGTCAACATCTGCAAAGAACTTCTTGCAGTACATGATGCCGATCCGGATGACTTCTTCGCCTGCTTGGTCAGAGGGACGAGTCTTGGTTTTTGCACGTCATTCCCGCAAAAAACACATAGCTCCAATAAGTGGAAGCATGCATCGAGCCCACGTACCAAGGAGCCTAGGCCAGCATTGAACACGCGGAAACAAATGGCAACCGTGTTCTGGGATATCCAGGGCATTCTTCTCGTAGACTGGCTTTAGCCTGGGTGTACCATCAACAGCGACCGGTAAGTTTCTCATAACGCTCAACGGTGCATTCAACAGTGCCGTCCGGGCAAACGGGCACGACATGTGCTGATGTAGCACGCCCCTACCCCAGCCGGAACACCCACGACACTCACGACGCATTTAGCTTCACTGTGGTGCCACACCCTCCGTACTCGCCTGATCTGCCCCCTCGGACTACGCCTTGCTTGACAAGATGAAAGGCGCAGTCATGGGCCAACATGTTGAATCTTCTGCCGAATTGCATGCCGTAGGTGGTGCGCCAACACCCCCACAGACTGGTTTACCAAAGCCCTCCGGGACCTCCCAGCCAGACGGCAGGAGTGCATTGACTTGAGCAGGGATTATTTCTAACTGATGTACTATAATTTTTTGTTAATAAATTGTATTCCGCTCTGTGGTAGCATTTATGTCATTCATTTCTATACGACCTTAATACATCATTGTCTATAATAGAGCATTTACTTTAGTATCATTTCATTCTTAACTTACTATGTACATTGGGTAATCCAGAAGTATATCTGGAACTGAATATATATTATATTGTATGTAATCTGCTTCTACCTTACGCAATGCAATAGTCTGTTCGTTTGTAAAACACTATGATAATGTTGCTACACTAAGAACATGTACTCTCTTCAAAAGCCTTGCTTGCTCATGCAATTATTTTTTAGTATCATATCACTCTATAATTCCATTCTTAACTTTAATATGTATATTGTAACTCAGAAACATATCTGGTTCTGAACTGTGCATTTATTTTAAATTGTATGTAACTTGTGTCTACTTTATCTAATGCAATACTCTGTTCATTTGTCAAACACCATAATGATGTCTCTACATTGAAAACACGTACTCTCTTTAAAAGCCTTGTTTGCATATGCTATTAGAAAAATTATAAGGTTTATCCTAAGTTTTAAACAATTATTTTTAAGCTCCTTTCCTATCCATCCTAATTTCAGCTTACAATTTCCTACCAGAATGTGTTTTTAGAATCGCGTTTAATGCAAATGAGTAGGAGTAGTATTTAACGCGAAGTCCTACTGATTTCGAAAGAGAGCATCAGAGTTTCTGATTAGCGCGCGTTTGCCTTTTGGCCACGTCTCTCTAACCTGTTACTACGTTCGGTCGTATTACGGTCCCTTGATAGCTTCGCTACCTAATTCGATATTTAGGAGGTTATTTAGATTTATATTATTAGATTACTATTTAGATTTGTGGTAGCTTCAGCTACATCTCTTTAGTTAAGTTCTTACTTCATTCATTTTTGAGTTTAAGCCCAAGTGGAGGCTTTGCTGTACGCCCTGAGAAAGGGGCCGACTGTTATTATTTATTTTGAGCAATAAAGGGCAGTTAAACCTTCCTGTGCGTTACGTTTCTGTTGCTGAACTTATGCGATTATTCGGTTAGCTGTTCTCTAGGTTCCTCCACACTTAAGCTGTTAGATAAAAGGGTTAGATAAAAGCCCACAACATAATAATGCTGACTGTACTGTATCTGGTTTGGTCGGAGGAACATCCACTCCGATGAGTAGGTTATAATTCCGTATGATGCATAACCCTGCTCATGAGCCTGCTAAGTAGCGAGTTTGTTGTAACATTCATAAAATATTTTGTAGTCCTCTACTCCCCATTTTAAATAAGAAAACCTCTTGCTTGGAATATGGGGCGGCAAAAGAAACTAAGAATTAGGAAATTTTTCTGATTTAAATACACTCGTGCTAAAAAATAAGCAACCAACTCTAGAAGAAAAGGTACGAATGCAAAAAGGGGAATTAAAAAATACAATTTACACATGAAGTTGCATCGCCGAATGCAAATAGGCAACCAGAATTAACATAAAACACAATCCCGCAATTACACTACAACGTCTTAAAAAGGGTCATACCGGACCTATGCGTCAGTTCGCAAGCAGCGAAAGTTCAGTGTAATCCGAGATATAGAAAGCGGAATGCATGAACCGAAGACACAACTGTCACGATGAAATGCCTTGCAGGACTGTCGGGATGTTGCCAGCAGGTGTAAGACAAACCTCTGTTCCGAGAGATTTGAATGTGTATCGTAGTATCACCAATAGGCTCTGGAATCGTTATCAAAGGGATCAAAACCCCTGTAGAAGACGTGAGTCTGGACGCCGCAGGATTACCACAACGGCAGACGATCGCTTCCTGTTACTATGTGAAAGACGTCTTAGATCACTAACAGCACGACGACAGCTAGTGTCGCATTCTCTCTGCTGCTTCAGGATGGCCTATAACCCGCCAAACTGTGTCACGTCGATTGCATGAAGGTGAACTGTATGCCCGACGACCTGTGGTTTGTGTTCCTTTGTCCCCATCGCATGTCAGAGGGCGTTTGATTTGGGCCCGTGAACATCGCAGATAGACACCAGAGCTGTAAAGCCACGTACTGTTTACAAGATGAGTCTCTATTGAACATCCAAATGGCTTCCGAAGGGGAATCATGCGGCGAGAGCCAAGGACAGGCTATCGGTCGCCTAAAATCGTTGAAAGAGACCATTACAGAGGAGAAGGCTTACCTGTGTGGGCTAGGATAGCAACGAACGGCCGCATCAACCTCTATGTGATTCCTGGGGGCTCCGTCACAAACATCCAAAACCGTGACGAAATTCCACATCTTCTTGTGCGTCCTTTTATCGCTGTAATGGCGTACCAAAGCGATATTTATGAGGGATAACGACTATACACATAGAGTTCGACTGTTGCAGAGTTATCTGGAGAGTGAAAACATTCCACATCTCTAATGGCTTGTTAGACTGCTGGGCTCAGTCCCATAGAGTATGTGTGGGAAACCTTGGGACGACGGACAGCAGGTCGTAGCTAATTTTTTGGTGAATTTCTGGCACTGATTTTAGCTTTGTCCCATTCGATTTTTAAGAGTGGATGCTCAGAGGAGTATTTGAGCAAAGATGCACTTTTTTTATTGATGAACTGGTTGAAACACAGAATTTTCATCATGGCCTCCTCCGTTTTCTCGAGTATGTAATAGCAGTCTACTCTTCCTATGCAACATTCTTGGTGATATCTAAAAGACTGATCAATTTAGCCATTACTCATGAACGTACCTCTAAACAAGAGTTTGTCAATTGGAGGAAACATTACTATTATATTAAATGTAGAACTGAAACTTTAGTTTAGGCAGTGCTGTTACTTTATGTAGTTCTAAAATTACGTCTATAAATAAACGAAGACAGCAAACTAAAAAAATAAATAAATAAATGTATTTCTTAATGTCATATTACTACTGAAGAATTGCAAGCCCTTTCTTCAGCTGGAACATAAGAAAGCCTAGAGGAAAGTTTTATCTGGTATGAAGGAAGAGAATACATAAAGACCAATGTCTACTTATATGTCTAAGTCGTTTACTCTACTGGCAGAGAACTCTAACAGTTTTGTCTGTGATAGTCTACTATACACAAAAGAGGCTCCTGTCATCTATCTGGGTACGCAGCGTGACGATAAGTAACACTTCATTCGGTTCGAATATGTTCACATCTTCCTAGGTGTGTTGAAATATCCAAGGGTTCTTCCCTCGGTTTAGAATCGAAGGTGAATCGCTCCCGGGTTTAGGGCTAAATTGAAAGCTGCCCTTTTGGGGCATTTCACATGTTCTGCCTTATAAGGGGCTGCCTTGTAATGTTTTCATTGAAAAGAATGGGATAGGGAGGATTGTTATATCTGTGTACTATAACTGTCAAAGACCTGTTAACTGACGAAGCAATGCGCTATTAGAACCATTTTAAAGAAGAGGAAGAAACACTTTAAATAATTTCTTGATATCTGAAGTTTTTAAACACCAAAGGAAGATGTTCAAGATTCATAACAGAGCTGAGTAATAAGTTCAACTTCTAGCCTAATGAACTTTCTTATATGCCATTCGTTAAGGCCACAACATGTAAAAAATTGCAACCTTTCCAACAAAATACTGGAAAGAGTGCATGTATGAACTTGTCGCGTCTGTTCTGGAATCAGAATCTAGCCAAACTTTCGGTTCTTCACAAACATGCCCATGAGGATCATCGCTAAAAACTACACAAATAAATGCAACATTCAGTAACTAGCCGACCCTACTCGAAGTGACGCCTAGAAAAGAATCAACTGCTATGATTCACGTGCCTGAGCCTGAAATGAATTTCAATGCGATGCGCATTATCATCCACTTGCAGTAGAACACGGAAAAAACTCAGACTGAACTGAAAAGAAAAACTAAACGAATGGGTTAACACAAAATATAAATAAATAGGTTTTGTCAATAATAGATTATTAAACGCTTAGCAATTTAGCCGATAATAATGTCTTTCATAGCCTCTAATTTTTTTTTTTTTTTTTTTTTTTTCAATTCTGAACTAAGCTTGCAAACAGAAAATTATTCCCGTAGTCTATGAGAAAGAATGTGCTCATCAAAAACGCCTTCCTGGGATATAGAAGTCCATTACACAAAATTTCATTGTCTAACTCTTTCCACGAAGTAAAATATTTACATTACAGTTTACAGAAAAATGCCAGTTTTATACAAGGGACATTCAGACATAAACAGGATTTTTAATGTCCCTTCTTGTAGATTTCAGTGTAACCGTGGTTCAATGGCTAAAGAGTCAGACAAACTTTCAAAGCACTGAAAGAAGTGTATTAAAAAGGCAATAAAACCATGTACGTCGTTTCATTGGATTCTCTAAGTTTAGCTGATAAATTCATGTTCATACTTGAACATTCCTTATTGTTCTCACACAATGAGATTAATTTTAGCAATTATTAAATTAACAAACCATGAGTCATTTGCGTTTCATATTAATTTTATTAGCAGATAGCCTTACATTTTTAAAAATTCATTCGAGTTATTGAGAGCTATCATTAACATGGAAACTCTTTTATATGTCATATTTTAATTTTTTATGGGTTTTTAGTTATTTTCATAGTGATTTCTCGGCGTTTCGTTTGAGAAAGAATATTTTCAGGAGTAAAATGTTTTGCCCATGGCAAATTTTGTAATGAGTCGTAAAGTTTCTGAATTTGAGTCTTGCGCTTTCTTTCATAATTCGAAGAGTTATTTTTTTCGAAAGAAATCTTTTGAACAGATTTTTCTGAACATGAATCTGTTCTACAGCAGATGCATGTAGTTTTTTTTATCTTAAGTCTGAGTTTATACCTATTTACATAGGTGGATCTGGTGCCTTTAGGTCGATCTTTGTTCATCTTTTTCACTGAACTTGAAGAAACTGAACTTTTCTTTGACCAAGATGGTGCATCCATACTCAGACGTTGAGACAGCTTGAAACTGACAGCTAAAATATAAACATAAAAAAGTTAAGTAACAAATAACTACAACAAAAACAAAATATATTGGGCAGAGAGAAGAAGATACTTATTTTAAATATTTTAATTCTTTTAATTCTATTTTGATTTTCCGTATTGTTGCAATATTTTGTATCGGTTTATCTATATTACCTATTTACTGCTTTTGGATTATAATTTTGTGACTTATTTTATGTTTAATCTAATTTGGGTCAAGCAGATCCTTAATTCTGAGTGCATTGACTTTAGAATTGTAAAAATAGCTTAATTAAAAGGCGAGATATAGGCAATTTTGTTTGTAAGTGGTCTCTTGGCGATAATTTTCGTCCCCATGATGGCGACATTTCGCGATTTTTCGCTAACTTGGCGACTTTCTGGAACTCAAAACTCTGGAACCGATACTCGAATTTATATTTTGGAAGCTTTATGACCGATTATTCTAAAACTTTCTAGAGCCTTTGCTGCAAGGTAAAAATATGGATCGGAGTGCTAAGGAGCTAAATTGTGAATCAGCTGTGAGTATTAGAGGTTAGCAGATTATTTACGAATTAGAAGTTATCCTGAGAGTGATTGGAGGAATTTAATGATACATTTTGTGTACTAAGAAGCAGTTGTAAATATTTGCGTTCCGTTTTCCTTGAGTTATTTCCAGCTATTATTGTGCTGCATGCACTATTGATTATGCTTATTTTCCTAATAAATTGTTCACTTCTTCCTGCTTATCTGAACTTATTTGATGAAACATTAAAGATTTCTCTCGATTATAAGTACAACCAACAGAACCCTATGATGCAACATCTGGTGTCAGAATTTGGGGTTTCTTTCAATGCCGAATAACTAGGAAAATGAAAGAGCAGTTGAAAGCTATTACGGAACGGATTGCTGCCAGTCAGAAAGAGGCAGCCACGAATGTTACACCATGTACAGTTTTCATTTTCAGGGAAGAAGCAGCAGAAATGAATACATCGATTGAAGCTAATGCTGCAGAAATAAAAAAAGTACAACGTTGGCCTCCTTCTCTGAAATAAGAACTTCATTGAAGCAAATGCTGCTTAGATGAGGGAAGAAGCATCAGAAGTGAAGGAGAGCATTGTAGCAATCGAAAAAGGAAAATTGTCAATGCTGTCAACGAGAAAGTAGCCGCCGTAGAAGAGAATATACAAAAACAGATAGACAGTGTTAGTCGAGAGATTTCTGCAGTGAAAGAGAGTCTAGATAAAGATAATCTATAAATAAATAACACTCAGGTTGAGTTATCTCGTCCCGCAAATAAGCTTTCGCCATATGACGGGAAGTCACCAAGTAACATGAATAAAACACAATTTCAAATATGTTTTCAGGCAAATCATTGGGATCCCGTCACTGCAGCTCTAAATCTGGCATCCTGTTTACGAGGAGATGGAAAGAACATGTTACAGATGCTCCCAGCCGAAAAACGTTTGGCTTTTACGCACTACACATGTGGTTTGGAGAAACATTTCTCAACGATTACCCACGATTGCAGCTTAAGACTCGACAGCAGAAAGCAAGAAAGACCTTTAAAAACTAGCAATTAACGTTGAAAAGTTAACGCAGCAAGCATTTCCGGATTGCGGCCGTGAAATTAAAGACATACTGAGTCTCTAGTATTTTTTATGCTATCATCAATACTGAAATGCATCAAACACACCGAATAGCAAGTGAAAAAGATCAGTAGAATGTTCTCGTCTATGCTAAGTGCAGATTTCCCAGAAGGTCAGTATAAGAGACATTCGTCCAGTAAAAAATGTTAACAGTACAGAAGCCACAATGCTGAGAGTGATGGTGGAAATGACGAAAAAGAGTGGAGGGGATGGAAGCATCCAATACGAAATGCAGTATTCACCAAGGTAAGGTCAACTGCCGAAAACGTAATTTAGAAGAACATCTACGAAAACAGAGGCGTGCGCCTCCAGTTCAAAAGACGAAAAATATGTCGGAAGAACAGCAGAAAAAGTACATTCTGCAAATACACTCTATAACTTATACGAGAAGGTGGTTAGTGACTCTGGACTACCGTACCGAAGGGCCCGAGTTCGAATGCTGTAAATTGTCTGTTTCTTCACAGGCGATAATGGTGCCCACCTATTACGTGACTCCATAATAACATGGCCACGGCTTCCGGCCTTAATAGGGGCCAACGTCTATAATGTCAGTTGAAGGATTTGTATATAGTGTAATTACTCAGTTGTATATATTGTAAAAAGCTAATTGCCTTCAGACTTATGCTGTTACTAAAAAAATGGGCCTATTTCATAATCTTTAGTCTGTCAAGTAGCTCTTTGACAGTAAAAATTCCTTTTAACCTTTCTTAAATTCTTAATCGTTTTGACACGACAATTAGCCAGAAATTATATAATTTCCATTCACTAGTATTTTCAAAAAAATTTTAACAGACGGTTGCACTCAAATAAGAACGCCACAGAATACATCCCTCAAGAATTCCGAGGCCCACACACTACCATAAATTACTTCACCCAAGTCTTACCGACTGATATTATTCAAAGCCCCGCTGCCGCTAAGAAATTTCGGAAACACTACACTTCTGAGTCAGACGCGAAGAGAACACTTTACCCACTCCCCACTAGAAAGAACTTAAGTTAATACTTTTTCTGGCCTTTATATCTTCATGTACATTCACTTTTCTTATTATATTTTTTATTTTTATATTATTTTTTATTTGTTTTTACAACGTTTGCATTATTTATCTTATATTTTGCAATTTTCTAATGTTTATTTCAACTACTTTGAATTCTATTTCATAATGACAATTTCCAATGTTTAATTTTTACAAATAATATTGAACTCAAATGCATAAACACGAGGGTGTTGGGGGACGGTTACTCGAGCATTACCGAAATTTGCTACAGAAATTGCTTTTCACTCGGGGTTGAATTGGCTAAAATGCTTGGTAGGAATGGGTTCTTTGAATATCAGCATTGGTTCATGGTCCCTTGTGTTCACGGAGGTGTTTGGCCTGACTTGAATTGCCGTTTTGGCTTAGCCTTATTGCTCGAATAGGGGCCAAACACCTTCGTATTTGTTTATTAATTTTTGTTCTTTGGACGGGGGTTGGTTTGTTCCCCTCGGAAAGTCAACTAGTTTCCGATTAATGACAGTAGTTGCACGCATTTAATTTGATTCTTGCCTTTAACTTATTCCTTTTGCAACTGAAATTTTGTTATTCATGATTTAATTCCGGTCCCTGTTAAAACATTTTTAACATTTTGCTTTCAAGTTGCTTCAAAACATCTTTCAAAATATAACTTACTAGTATGGATTTACTCTTTTAAGATAATCCTACTATAATTAGACTTAGGAGATAATATAATCAATTAATCAATATTATTTAGTAAATAAAGTATTATTAACTTACTTTGCAGCAATTGCGCAAGTAGTAGTAACTTGTTTTCGCACTAAATGAATTTATGATCATACAACATTTTATATATATATAGGGAAGAAAAATATTTGTGTATATATATATATATATATATATATATATATATGTACAAATACTAGAGTTTATGTATTAGTTCCGCCTACTAACACAAGTCTTTTTATTATTCAGTATTGACGTAAAACCTAAATTTTCACTGTTCGTATTTCGGAAGAGGTGCTGAGATCCAACTTCCCTCTCCAACTCTCCAGCTAGACTTTAAACCTGTAAGGTATTTCTCCCTCTTCTTGGCGTGCCTTTGTGGTGTAGTGGTTTTGCACGCTGGGTCGGTATTCGAGAGGTCCATGGTTCGATTCCCAGCGAAGGCGGTTGCTAATTTTTCATCTTGCCTGCTTCCAAAAAATACCTAATGTCGCTACGAACTTACCCGCTAAACAACTTGAGTCGGTTTGTGCGCATGCATTTTGAGTATTATTTACCGAAATTCGATGGTGCTAAAAGCATATCTATAATTTTTTATTAAAGTAATATTGTGTACTACGTTTTGGAAGTCATGATGAGTATTTATATAGCCGACAACCAGTCTAATAACTAATACTATATAAGTTTTTTGATTTTTTTCCATGTAAAATGTAACTTTTGTGAATATGAGTTAAGAATTTATAAATATTCATGCAGTTTAGCAGCAAATAATATGTTCTGAAAGTAAACAAAGTTGAGCATTTACAATAGAGGAATTTAAAATTGGTAGTACAAGCTTGATTTTGAGCTAATTTCTTTTGTCAAGTTTTGATAAATTTATGAGAAAAGGAGAGTGAGATTGTAAGATTAATGATGCGAAAGTGTTCAAAGGAACCCAGTTAATTAAATGAAGCTTTACGGACAATTTTTGCAGATTCCATATTAAAATGTAACTAAATGACCGTCTTACTTAGCTAAAAAAAATTATTTTTTCCTTTCGAAAATTAATTTATACTCCCTGACGAGAAATTTCAACGCTTTTTCAATTTGGCTAATGTACACAAAACAACACGATATATATCAAATTATGCTAAATTACACAAGAATTAAAAGCCCATATGGGATCTTAAAGAATCGAAAAATGAATTTTACTGATAAGTGAAAAAATGACTTAAATATTAAACTTATGGAGAAGTCAAGAAATTTTGTAATTGATAGCAAGTTTAAATAATTATTGGGCACGTGTCAACTAAACGTTACTGTCGGCTTAAAATAGCCTGTTGACTAAATATCTTGACAACTAAATACCCCGTAACTAATTGTCCTGACGGCGAATTCTCTGTGTCGGCTAAATGTCCTGTCAGCTAACTGTCCGTGTCGGCTAAATGTCCTGTTGGCTAAGTGTCCTTGTCGGCTAAATGTCTTGTCGGCTAACTGTCCGTTTCGGTTAAGTGACCTGTCGGCTAACTGGTGTCGGTTAAATGTCTCGTCGGCTGAGTCTCACGAACCCAATAATACTATTCCTCCAAGAATGAAATGCACTAGCAGTGGTTAAGTAAAACTTCACCCGAAATTCCTCGTAGGGACTCCTGATTTGTCGAAGGAAACTGC